CATTATAATGGCTCCACTGAACATGCACAAGAGGAATAACTTTGGTATGAAGCACCTAATTCATACGATCAAGAATTTGACAAAGTGGCTCTTCGTATGTCGCATCCTGCTGTAACTCTATCTCACCAACATCTATATGCTGATAACGATCCTCATCTCGTAAAAATTTCTGCAACATGGAAACATGAAAAACATTGTGGACTCGATATAAATGGTTCGGGAGCACAAATCAATAAGCTACAGCTCCCACACGATCCATAATCATAAATGGTCCTACGAAACTTGGCAAAAATTTTCCTTCCTTCCCAAAGCGCATCATTCCCTTTATGGGAGAAACTTTGAGTAAAACCTAATCCCCAACTTGAAATTATAGTGAGCGAGTACGACGATCAACATAACTTTTCTTCTTACTCTAAGCAGTGCGAATACGATCTCGAATAAGAGCAATCTTCTCAAAGGTATCCTAAGTGAATTCAGGACCCAAAAATCTGCTCTCACTAACCTCTAATCAACAAACAGGAGATCTAGTCGGTCTACTATACAATGCCTAAAAAGGTGCCATACCAATAGTCTTTTGATAACTATTGTTATAAGTAAAATTTGCAAGTGGCAAGTAATCTTAAATCAGTAGTTGTTGGGTATGTAACCGATCTCGAGCCAAGTCGAGCCCAAGCTTGTCGAATCTCTACTAAGCCAAGCTCGAGCTTCTCTAGGCTAAGCTTACCCGATCGAGCCAAGCCCAAGCAACTCTCTGAAGTTGACGAGCCAAGCTCGAATAAGACAAAGCTGGGCTCGGCTCAGTTCATTACAGCCTTACTCACAACAGTACTCACCCTTTCAGCCCTTTACATCTCTCCTCTCTCACACCCATCTCTATTTATAGAATCTTCAAATCAATTCCTTATTGGACAAGAAATCCATAACATGCCTATAAGGAGTTACCATATTAATCTTACTCCACTACTTTTCAAATTAGAACTAGAAACTCATGTACGCATATGTATTAGATTAGACCGGTTCAAATGGGACAAGTCCGACTTTAGTTTCACAATTCTATAATCTTCAACTATATTGGACCAGTCCAACTTTTCTATAATACAATCTTCATCTATAGTCACGTTGGACCGGTCCACATAAAAAGAACCACATTGCAACTATAATTTTGAGCCACACTTTAACCATAAAACTTCTCATAACTGCTCCAACGACTTGGATCCTCTAAGTTATCCTAAGTTGAATTCATTGCAGATTGACACGTGACATTTAAAATCTATCCACTGCTTGTGTACGTTAAACCACGTTAACTAATTTAAAGAAAATTTGAAAATTGCACCATTTTGAGATAAGAAAAATTTACCAAAATTTAAAAACTGCATATAAGAAAAATTCACCATACTTTAATGACGTCAATTTCGTTCTCTCTCCCTCATCTTTTCCAAAAAAAGATCGCTCCATTTTTCTCATTCCCACGTTGGAAGAATATTTCGCGCCAAAAATGAATGTTCTTTCCCCCTATTTTTGGTGCTTAGAAGCTCTGGTTCACTCTCTTTTATACTAGATCCCTAATGTTTAAATTTAATTTCGAAAGACATGAATTTATTATTGCCTACAATTGTTATTCCTTTTCTTGTTGAATATAGCTCATTACCTTTCAAGGAATTAAATCACTTGAAGAAGAAAAAAAAAAAAAAATTATAGCTCGGTGAACTAAATAATGCAGAGTATGATATATTGTTTCTTTAGTTAAATTTTCATTCTGGAATCAAGATTTCATTCATTTTTGGCACGAAATATTCCCCCAGTCGTGGGAATGAGTAAGAGGAGATAGAGGGAGCGATCTTTTTACGAGGTAGAGAAAATGGCGTTAATGTCGTTATAGTATGGTAAATTTTCCTTATCTCAAAACAATGCAGTTTTCAAACTTTGGTAAAATTTTCCTATCTAAAAATGATGTAGTTTTTAAACTTTCTTTAAATTAGCTGACGTGGTTTAACACAAGTAGTAGATAGATTTTAAATGTCACGTGTCAATCTGTAGTGAATTCAATTTAGAATAACTTAGAGAAGATTTAACTTGGAGGATCCAAGTCCCTCCTTTCAACCACAACAATATTCGATAACCACTCAAGCTTAGTTATAAAAACAAAAAAAAAAAAATGAAAAAAAAAGGGGTTAATTATAATGACACCCCTTGAGGTTTGCCATATTAACAGCTATATACAAGTTAGAGCTTTTTTGAATAATGACACCCCTTATCAGAAATTGCATCCAAACAACCCCTAAAAGATTATGAAAAGTCAAAATTGTCCTTTAATATTTTATTACTTTTAATATTAAAATATTAAAACTATTTAAAGACCAAATTGCCCTTTCTGTGAGATCAAAACTAGCCACCCATTTTTTCTTCCATCATCACCTTTTGTCTACCCAAACCCATCGAGTCACTCAACATCGTCGCCACCACCCGACCACCACATTTTCACCCAGAACCTTTGGCTTCAAAATTTTGATGGAAACATTCACAGTTGATGAGATCGATCTAGATGAGAAAAGATTAGATCGTTTGGAACTTCTGCAAGTCTTTTTCTTGGGCTATGGCGATGGTGACAACCAAGGCGATGAGATTAGGCATTTATGATGTCGACGACAACTAGGGTTATATATATATATATATATATAAGTTGTGGTTGTGGGTAGTTGTGGTATGGTAGGTGCTTTAGGAGGATGGAGAGAATAAAGAGAAGTTAGGAAGAAAGGGAAAAAATTGTTCGGTCACTTGATGCACCCGTGGTATGGGCGAGGGTGGCACCGCCAAAGCCGTTGCACTCGAGGCGACCACCGGTGTTGCAGGATAAGCGGTCGTTGGAGTTGTTGTAGCTAGTGCTGGGTCGGCGTCAGGAATGATCGATGGGTCAGATTTCGATGTCCATATCGCTATCCTTAGGTTTCGCCATAGATTCTCCAACGAACTCTCAGTTCGTCATCGACGATTGCATCTCGTTCTTCAACTGATCACCGGATCTCTTAGTGATGAATTTCGTCTCTGTTGACAACGACGACCTCGTGATCTGCCATGGGCATCCATGCCTTAATTTGGGCGTTCATCGCCGCCGCCAACAACCCGACCTTCGCCTTCGCAGTTGTAGATGATTCGTGAGACGCTGATGGCGTCAACGATGTTGAGGAACCACCGAACTAGCGGTGGAATGTGTCGGTGAAGAGGCAATCGAGGCGGTGACTGAATAGGAGTTGCTTGAGGGGTTCTTAGAGGATGGAGATGATAGAAGGCTGATGTCGTCGATGATGGGAATGTGAATTGAGATTCCGACGGAGAATCCATGATCGAAGAGCTGATTGAATCAAAGTCTCGAACCCAATGAGAGTGTAGAGAGAGAAAGTTGGGAAGAGAGAGAAAATAGATGGCTGATGTGTAATGGTTGTCAGACATATTTTCTTAAATGTGTAGCTAGGATTGCCTGGGACTAAAGATTGGTGGTCCCAAGACTACCTAATAACTTCTCCTGTGGTAGGGTTTCTCAGCTTTAGTGGTTGTGTGAGGGCTAAATTGGTCCATTAAAATGATTAGAAAGGTTAAAAAGGTAATTTTATAATTCAAATGGGTTAATTCAAAAGTGAAAGGGTATAAAGGCCATTTTAGCTTATATCAAAGATAACAGGAGTGTCTTTGTTAACTTTATCAAAACTGAGGGGGTCTCATTGTTCGAAAAGAGATTAATTTATATGTGGATTTCAGTACGAGTGTCATTGTAATTAACCCAAAAAAAAAAAAAAAAAAAGCAAACGAACCATGGTTGAAGAAGGGGTCACTAATCACATTATATCCGTACTTTCATTTCAAGTTATATTATCATAGTCATAGCCATAGGTTTACAACAATATTTTTACATCGGAATTCAATTGCCACTCTCTCTTTATTTTGTCACTTTCTATATATATATGTGTGTGTGTGTGTGTGTGTGTGTGTGTGTGTTTATTACAGTGATAGTGGGTCACCTATTCATTTTCATTTTTAATTCCATTGTACCATTACCATTTTATTGTCAACCAACTAGAGAATATATTTAAGTCGTAAAAGGCGAATGCCCTACATGGTTGATAAATTTTCACCCACTCGAGCAAATCGCAATTACATGCATTCATTCGGATGGGTGGTCCATTGTCCCTCTTGCCAGTTGTAACGATAGGCTCACGGTTGTAATAAAACTGCGTTTAACTCAAGTTGTCTAACTCACCAATACTTTCTTGTTCATTAATGATTTCCTTAATTACCTACCCAAAATAGGAAAGAAAAAAAATATATAGTTTCAATTAGGTGTAGAAAGTTCTATACGAGAGGTGTTACATAAGGTGCTTCGTTAGGGTTTTCTAACTGAATAAAATTATTAACCCATTTAGGATAGGTTTGTTTGAATGTAATATATATATATATATATATATATATATATATATATATATATATATATATATTTGGTGTTTGGTTGTCCAAAATTTAAGTACATAAAATATTTTATAAAAACTTAACAAAACAACGGAGGAAAAAATTTTCAAAGACGTTTGTCAAATACCAAAAAAAAATTAAAAATAATAAAAATATTTTACCTAAAAAAAATTTATATAGAAAATATTTTTCTAAAAATATATTTTATGTTCAAACAAAGGGCGCTTATTTCAATTCAAAGTTGAATATATTGGATTTGGATCATTATATAACATCAATCAGAGAACCAGTACTTATATAACTTGGATCGTGAATCAACACATTGACAACCCAATTAGTGTTTCTAAACACTTCAGATTTACAATCAAGCTAGAGAACATATATATATAAAAAGAAAATGAACAACACATACCAAGTTTCAACACTAACATGGATCAAATTCAAACAGCAAGGTCTAAAAGCACCAAATCTAAAAAATTCTTATTATCTAGCTCAGATTGTGTCATGCCTGAGAAGGAGGGATGTCAAACACCATCTTCAACCTAACCATCATTGCTTCCTTTTTCAGCAGCCATTGCTTTTGATCCAACACAGGCCACGCCGCGACTACATTTTCGCTTCACCCAGCCAAAACAGTCCCCATGACTGATACTTTCCAATGGTGTCACTGTCCGACGTGCACAAATCCTTCCCAAAAAGCACGAAATAACTGTGAGAACCGCTAGCACGGAGATGACTGCAAAAAATGGCCCGATAGATCCTGAAGACTGCCTCGAACTGCTCGGCACAGTTTCGGGATTAGGCACCACTTCCTGAGGTTGTTGCTGTTCAGGCAAGGATGGTGATGTTGTAGCCATTACTTGCTAGAAGCAAAATGGTCCCTGGAAAGTAAAATATATATATATATATATACGCGCACATATACAAGCTTCTTTTCCCCTCAAATTTAAAACAAAGGCAAACACACTTATTATATTAAGATTATATAGATCATACTAAGAGGAAATTGTGTTTTAGAGAAATTATTACACGGTCTCGGGTTAATTATATGTCAGCTTTATATTAACTTAACCTCTTTACAAGGCTCAAGCACGTACTTAATCTCTTCTTTAGAAATTTAGGAAAGAGAGATCATAGATCATACTATAGCACTGGTGAAATTGTGTTGGGGGACAAAATTGAAATTTTATTGTAATTTCAGGAAACCATTGGCCTCAGGACAATTATGTGCTGACACACAGACAAATGTGTTAGCTTTATGTCAATTTCAACTCATATTTTATTTATATTTGAATTTGTGATGGATCAGGATTATATAATAATTTCTCATATATCGTATAATATATCTGGACCTGATATTATCTGATGTAATGCCGACTAGTTACTTACAGGACAAATGAATATGTATATGATATATCCATATGAATATAATGAGTTAAAAGTGCTAGGCATCCCTTTAACTACCCTTTTGAAGTGCATTGAGTGGAAGCCAACATGGAAAGGCTAAAGAATTATTTTTTTTTTGCAATTTTAGTTGAAGTTGGTTGCATACTAATGTTTGCATGGGCTTATAAGGAGTTAGGCTTTTTCTGTAAAGAAGATAAAAGAGATTCCAGTGCTAAAGTGAATCCCATGTGGTTGGTTTGGTGTTTCTTTCCTTGGTGATAATAACATGACAAGGCTAAATCCAAAAGATTTAAATGATTTTAAATTCAGTGATCTAATAGACAACTTAAAATTTTCTTTTTTTTATTTTCTACTTGGGCTCATATTGAATTTGGCACTCAAACTGACAGGTGGGACAAACGCGTGCAAGTTCAGCCAGGTATACGCGGATTGTTGATGGGGATTAAAGAGGTGATGATGGCTGAAAACAGGCTTTTTCATGGTTTTCTTGGAGCATCTCGGGCGGTTAAAATTTTAATGATTTTGGGTCCAAACTAGCGATTTGGGTCATTCAATGGAGTCTTCAAAACGTGGGCCCAAAATTTTGAGTAATCAAATAAGTCGCCGAAAACGACGACGTTGGCAATCACAAGCCTGCCTTACGTGGGCTCGCCTACTTTTTTCTTCCTGTGTTTTTTTAGCCCAAATCAGTTAGCTCTTAGCCCAGAATTGGGTTGACATTTCGTTGGGAAAAAATTACAAAAACCAAAATTTGGGTTTTTTTTATTATTATTTTTGTCCTTTTTTACCCTAAATACAATTGAACCAAAAAGCCATTAAAGACTTTTTTGGACGAAAAAGGTAAAAACAAATTGAGAAAACTGTATTTTTTAAAATATATATATATATATATATATATATATATTTCAAGATTCCTATTGACATTATAGTTGTTTTAGGCACTGTTTGGCTGACCCAAATAGTGCCTTAACGAATATATTGGCCACAAAAAATAAACATATTTTTCCCTAACAAAATGAAATTTATTTTAAAAAATTATATTTTATTAAAAAAAAAAAAAAAAAAAAAAAAAAAACACAATTTGCCTTTGTTTTCACCTCTATAAATAAATTCATCAAATGCTAATGGATATTTTATTGTTACAATATTGTATACATAAAAATAAAATAAAAAATTTAATTGACTATATAATTTAATCATTTATTCCGAAATAAAACATTACATAATAAATATTCTATTACATAAAAGTTCATAACAATTTAAATTTAAAAACAAATAAATTTTAAACATTTTCTTCACCAAAGCGATTCCACAAAATTTCAATTAAACGTATTTCTCTTTTTATTGCAAATTCGGACTTGGTGAGAGTAAATGTGTGCAGCTAAGATCATTGGATTTTGAATTAAAGTAGGAATCGAGATTGTCTCCACTGGTGGCGAAGTTCATCTTCCAACATTGGCATGTCGTTCATCTTCAATGATCATATTGTGAAGGATAATGCATGTTTTCATTATAAGGCACAAGTCCCCTTTCGCTCCGAAATGCATTGGTCCTTACGTTATTACCCACTTGATCTGCAAGACCCCAAAAACTAGTTCCACGACTTTCCTATAGTTACAGGTAGAGATAGCAATGGGGTAGGCTTCTCATTCATCATCTCCATCCCCGTTTATTTTTTTCACCCCCATAATCACCCCAAAACCCGTTGGGTTTTTCAAAGTAGCCCCTATCAACGTCCCCATTTATATAATCGGTTCCTCACAATTGCTCCAAATGGGGCAGGGCCCCACCGGGGTAGGGATTTTTACCATTCCTACTCGTAACTTTCTTTTTTTTCACAAGACTTAAGACATGAAACAAAATGAGGGCTAGGGTTTCCTCCTCTGTATATATATATATATATACTTAACCTACTTTAGTAATATTATAATATAACATAGTATATTATGTGAGGATAATAGTTTAATGGGTTGTCGGGGGCGATGATGGGTTATCAACGACGATGGATTGATCTTGTCGTCGGTGTCAAAGAGATAAATCTGCAGTAGCTCATGTCTATCTCTGTCTTTCAAGTGTCGAGACCATGAAACAAAATGAGGGGCTAGGGTTTCAGAAAAGTTAATATATATATATATACACACACACACACACACACACACACACACACTTAGTCTAAGTTAGTAATATATTATAATATGTAAGGGCAATATAGTCAAATAACACCATAATTGAGGCGAGGCGGGTTTACCCTTCCCCCAACCCCGCCTCGCCCCTACCGGGTTTTTAAAAATATCCCTAATCCTCATCCCCATTTACAAAAACGTGTCCCCAAACCCTCCCCAGACAGGGCGGGGTGGGGCAGGGCGGGTCCCAGCCAAGTTAGGGATTATCTATAGGCCTCTTGTCTCTAAGCAAAAAGTTTTTTTCCCAGTAGTTGGGTGTGAGATGGTCTACATCAAAGTTGCCCATTTAGGGTATATACCATCAGACAGGTAATACAACATTCTATGATGACAGCAATTTACCAAGAAATTAACTGGAGGCATTTGGCCAGTAACAATATTGTCGAATACCAGGAAATGATCCAGCACATTAATATCATTGTATGAACCCAGCATTCCAAAGAATGAATGTCAAATCCACAAATCTTTTGCGGCAACTGCCTCCAATATGAGCGTAGGCATATAGGAGTGTCCCTTGTGCATATCATGCCACGACACCGGGCAATTCTTCCACTCCTAATCTATATAATAGATATAACCAAGCATACTTGGGAATCTTCTTTCCTCCCCTTTCTTGAAGTAGTTGTGCTATGTCGGCTTCGGTGGGTGGGCGCATATACTCCTCCTCATACAAACCAACAACATCCTTACAAAATGTCATCAGGCTTTCAATTGCAGTATTCTCACCGATTTTAATATACTCATCACAATGATTAGTTTGACAACCATATGCGAGTATACATATTGCAGTTGTCATCTTCTGTATAAAAAATAACCTAAAATGACCTGTTGTATCCTTTTTTTTGGACAAAGTAGTAGTCATAAGGTTTAACATCATTCAGGATATGAAGAAATAGTTACCATCACATCCTGAAGTACTCTAGTGGATATGTACAATTCTCGTGAAAGTAGTTTTTCATTAGTTGATGGTGACTTCCCTTTCGATCACGATGAATGTATTGCCTCTTATGCGATTTAAAGACTTGCTCTACTATCTTTGGGTTCACTGAATTCAAAACCGAACTAAAAACGCGGCAATAGGGTTATCTGATGAAAAGAATGATGAAGAATTAGAGTCTAACAAAGGAAAATATCGTGATGTCCTAGTTATTGGAATTTCAAGCTTCAATGATATTTGAATTGATATTTTGCTAGAATAAAAAAGATGAATATAGTGATGATGAGATGAACAAATGACTATTTATATAAGATAAAAAATATAGTCATTAGAAACAGTTAAAAAACAAATTATTAATATTTTAAAAAATTAAAATATTAATACTTTTGGAAAGTGAAAACGCAATTAGAGCACCTGTGATAACTAAAATTTGGAGAGTCCAAAACGCTGATGTGGCTCTTAGAAAATGCTAACATGCCAATTCTGGAAAGCCAAATTTTTTAGATGCTATTAGGGATGCTCTTAAAGAGTGAGTGAAACTATAACGACCCGAACTCGAGGGTCCAAATTACAAATAGGGTCCTTACCCGACTCAGGAACACCCAGGGGTAAAATAGTCACTTTGACGACCATGCAACACATTGGGGGCCTTACAACTGCTATCTAGGTCATATCTAGTGTAATACCCCTAATTTTCAAAAGGATATAATGGGAATTTAAATTTAATTTTTCTTTGAATTATGTTTTTTGTCTAATTGATTAAATGTTTATTTATTTAAATTAATTATTTATTATAATTGTTTATTTAAAATTAAATGTTTATATCTGGCTAAATGTTTAATTGTAATTATTTTTTTAAAATTTATTGTTTAATTGTATTAAATTTAATTGGTGTTAAATTAACGTGTTTTATTTAATGGCTTGTGTGTCTTAGTTAGTTTATGTTTTGTAAGTGTCATATATAAATTAGGGTTTCATTTTATGTAATTAGGTTAGCCGACGGAATTAGGATTAGGTTTTATAGAAGCCTATATAAACATAAGCTTTGTGTTTGCAAGGGTTTTTAGAACCCTTTTCCCGTAGCTGGAGGTAAAGAGAAACAGAGAGAGGTTTAAGAGGAAAACAGAAAGGAAACCTAGGGTTTTGGCAAAGGAGTGTTTGTTCATGTGTTGAACTAAGGAGGAAACAGAGGAGTAGAGGACAGTAGGAGTCATCAGGGAATTTAGGAAGACGACCGGAGAATTTAGGAAAATGACGCTGAGGTTTTGAACCGAAATCTCAAAGGCAAGTTCTAATCCTAACTCCTTCCCTTTGCCTCGTGTTCTTTGTA